CAGATGTCTGTCTTCTCTGCCTGGAGAAGGCAGAACTGCTTTCTGCCCCGTAGGCAGATGTTGGTCAGTCTGTTTGCACACATACAGAGCTTGGTGCCCCATTCAGAACAAGGAGCTTCACAGGAAGGAAATTAGGCAGAGAGTAAGGACATCCAGGCTGTCTTTAAGGGGAGAAAGGGGAGAAAAGAGGAAATGATAGTACCTGTACTAAGGTATCTCAGCATCAAATGGAGAAGGAGTTCTGAACTGCCAGGCACCAATGTGTTGCTGTGCCCTCCTCTGGTAGTATTTGGAGACCACCACCACAACAGGTTAAGGCTTAAAGGCACATTTTGAGTTCCAAGCTGTTCCCAGTTTGGGCAAATGATTATCTCTGATGCTGCAGTTGGCTTCGGGCTGAACTCAGTAGGATGCTGTGTGGGAACAAGAGCTAGTACATGGATAGTTGCTTACAAATCTGAGCCAAAGTAGAGAACTTCTAAGATTTCAGTGCTGAGCAAGGAGAGGAACTGTTCAGCATTGTCTGAAGAGTAATTGGAAGAAACAAAATTAAAAAAAAATATCAAGTTTTCCCGGAAGCTCCATTAGCTGAGCTGTTTAAAACTCAGATTAGACCAAACTATGGCAATACAGACTGTAAAGGCAGGGCAGTGCAGAACTAATAGTTCTGTAACTCTGTCCTCCCTAGGAAGGGCACAGAAGCTCTCTGACTCTGCCCTCCTTGGGGAAAGCACAATAGTAAAAAAACAGTTATGTGAAAGAAGTGAGCGAAGGGAAATCTGTTGTTCCTCCTATTGCTGGTATCGGAAAGAAATCTATTTTTTCTGTCAGTGAACATAAGATTTTAAAGACTTCTCTCCTTTAACAGGGTGATCTCCTATTCTCAGTGTCTCAGAGTCACCCAGCAAACAGAAATCTCAGCAGAGTTCCTCAGAGACAGGGCCAGTTCTTGCTCAACACCCTGGAAAGTTTCAGAAATGCTTGCAGGTGAGGACAAGTCAGGGAGGTGGGCAGGTGGGTGGTGTGTGTGTGTCCATGTCTGTCCATCCTTCTGTCCTTCTAACTGTCCTCTACCCAACCCTGCCAATGAAATATCACAGTGAGTGCAATGCATGGCACTTTTTAGTGAAACAAAAGAAGGAGGAATGTGTAGTGATAGTGAAAATTTTGTGACACCTGTATATGTCTCTCAGTAAATTTGCCTGGGACCCATCAGTTTATTTCATGTCTTTGGCCTTTGAGGAACTGCTTGAAAATGAGCCAAATCTGGTGACGATGTAAGAATGGTTGGAAGGTATGTGTGAAACCATATTCCTGTGCCCTGGGGTACGTGGTCTCATTGCTGGAGGGGATTAACCATTTGACAAATGTGTATCTGCTCCAGATGCTGGCCTTGGGTTTGCTCATGTCTGTGACCTGTTACTGCAAGTGGGTTTACAGGCACAAACTTTTCCTTTTTTTCTGGATGAGAGCTATCTCTCACCCTTAGCTGCACAGCAGACGGTGGTGTATGAAACTGGATCTGTTGTTAGGGAAGTCTGGCCAGCTTAGTTGTTCTGCCACGCATCACTTGCATTTGGTTTGGCTGAGATAATTCAGGCAGAAGCAGGTGTCCCTGTCTGCACTGACCCAGTGTTTTGGGGTGTTGTTACAGGGCACTAGGGTTTTGCCATGGTTTTTAGATCAGCTGAATGGTTCCCTGGCTGATTTTCACAAGGTTTGCTGTATTGTGCTCCAGGCACTCTGGCCTGGCTGGGAACCTTTAGTCTTGCCGTGCTAGAGCTTCCCACAGCAGCTACTTTCTTCAGAGAAGCTAAGTCTTCCTTTCCCAGCTTATACTGTTGTGCAAGATTGCTGACTTTTAATAACTTCGCTCAAGAGGTAACTCTGTGTGATTGCCAGATTCCTGTGTTCCCAACCCATCAAGTGTTTGTGGGGTCCTTAATGGTGAAAGTTGTGATGGAAATGTAGTATTTCCTGACTTCCTTTACAGAGTGAGGAGGATTCCTCTCTCCTCTGGTATCCACTGTGTGTTTGTAGGTTAGCAGTGGAGTTCCAGAGTGACCCCGTGGCCCAGGAAAATGCTTTCACTGCCCCCAACTCCAAGAGCAAGGACACACTGAGCAACTTCTCTGAGTTCCTGTTGAGGATTTGTGACAGTCTCTGTATCCCCATGGTCATGGTAGGGTTTCTTTTGAACTTGGTCTATTCCTTGAGTACCTGGAAAGGTGCTTTCAAGCACCAAGAGTGGGTTGCACAAGTGTTTTTTTGGGAAGAGAGCATGTAGAGTAAAAAAACAGCTGTGGCATTTGCCATCTCTCCAGAGCCAAATGTGGCGTTATACAGTTCATGCAAAATGGGAGTGTACAGTCTCAGAGGGTAGAGAAATTCATAAAGCTTCTGTGTAGATGTCAGCGTCTTTCTTCAGACTGTGCAATCCCCACAGCCTACCTGCTATGTTGTCTAATCCATGGCAGCTCTGGATGTTGCAGAAAATGAAGAGTGCCTGAATTGTTGTTTCCCCTTCTGCCACTTCTTCAAAACTTGCCTTGTCCTGGAAAGCAGCAGTATTTTGCATCTGCAATTTCATTTTCACGCTTCTTTCCAGAAGGTATTGAGAAGGCTGCCCAGTCTACACAGCAAGGGCAGCACTAAGCATTGTGCCTCAGTAACGCCAGGGACATGGTTTAAAAAGCAGCCATGGAGAGTCATGTGTGCTTTAATGCTCCATACAGACCTGTCACTAAGACACTTTGAGCTGAATTGTCAAAACAATGGGACTTTGGTTGTGGTTCTAAACGTTGAGTAAATTTTGCTTGTGCTTTGCCACAGGTTCAGGTGTATGGATTCTTCCAGTTGTTGGGAGCGTGGAGATGTTTTGTTTTGTATTTTTTTAACCAATCTCTTGGTAGGCAGCTGCAATGGCATTGCTGTTCTCCCTGAAGGGAGGGTGCAGTGCGTGTCTGGTTTGGCAAGGCTGGAGTCAGTATGCTGTTTCTTGCTCACTGAACTTGGGTAAAATTAATGGACTGTGAGAAGATTGTCCAGTGACCTTCTACAAGAGTGAGTTGAGTCACTCTGTTCTAAACAGTTTAGGGTTGGACTCTGTAGGGAGCTTAAATGCCTGTGTGTGCCACTACTCAATAAAATGCTGAAGCACAGATGTTAAGTGTTACTGAGGTCAGCTGCACTTAAGCATATGTCCTATGTTGTATGCCACGCTGGAGAATTAGCCATCTGACCTGTCAGAGCAGTTACTTCCTGGGCAATATGGGCAGTAATGTCAGTCACTGTGCATTAAGGCCTAACTGGTTGCCAGCTGGAATCAGGAAGAAGTTTCTTGTTTGATGTAATGTCTTGCAGAATTAGCAGCACAGCTCGTAATGTTGGCAGAGGGGAGTGTTAGTTGCTTTCGAAGTGTTCTGTAAGCCTGTGTTCTTGCTGCCAGGCATTTTGGTAGAAGAACTGTTGCTCCATTTGTTTGGATTTAGAAATCTAACTTTCTGGGCGGGCAGGAGGCCGAAAGAAAGCTGCTGCTTTCAGTGTTTATTGCATATTACGCGCCTGATCTTCTCTTCTTTCCACAGAACTACCTGGAAAGGGCTGTCAGCCCGTCAGTGATGGAGGTTTTCATCTCAACACTTAATACCCTCTTTACAGTGATGCCAAACATGCGGAATAAGTTCTCCAAAAAGCTGGGTATGGGGGTAGTGTGGGATCATGTTCTCTGTGCTCTTAACTGATGGAACTTGCTGCTACTGCATATTACTGAGGCAATGAGCTTAATGTGACTTTATGTGGAGGATTATATTACATGTTTGTATGAGTATGAATGGAGTGTGCAATCATGTTCATCAGGATGAAAAAGTTATTTGGTCTAGCAATGACGATGGGACAGATTTTATTTTAGATAAGTATGTTGTGTCAGGTTTACCCTTTCCTCTGGAATATTCAGAATTGGCTGTTCCTGTAGACAGGGATTATGCTGGAATTCTACTATATAGAAATTGTATTTACTCTGTGTATTCCTTACTCTTCACACATCAGAGAGGTGCTGTAGAGAGTTCCTCTATTCTAAACATGTGAAGCTGGCAAATCTTCCCTTCTCCTCCTGAGAAAACAAATGAATGTCTGATACTCCCCTCCAAACCAAACTCAGAGTAGTTTGCTTTGGGAGAGAAAGCCTAACGTGTATTCTTATGGACATGGCCTGCCCTGTTCACCAGGTTTGCGTGGAGATGTGTAGGGATGGTTATGGGACCTGCCTACTTTTTTCCCCTGTCGTACATGTTCTGTGCTCCTTTGACATTTTTGTCTTGCTTTTGGTCTAGCATCCTCCTCCTTCATCCAAGTGACACTGGAGCTGAAGGCCAGATTTTGCTCTGTACAAAGGTATTATGATCTGTGTATTGTGAATGAGTCAAAAATTTCCAGATGGGAAAGAAGATCATGCCTTATCTAATGCACCTGATTAGGCAAGATTGGAGGCTGGAAGACTCCAGAGTGGTTGTATCTTATTGCAAAATGTAAATGGTAACTGACAATGGAAAAGCTGGATGTGGGAGAAGGGAGAAGCAGTCGGGTAGGGGGCGGGTGGATTTACACGGTGTTGTGAGAATTCTGTGCTCTGTCGTGAGCTGTTCAGATAAAGCAGCCTGACTTTGGAGTAGTCAAATCAGTGGGTGTTTTGAAAAGAAGTAACAGTAGCATCAGTTCCATCTGAGCTCTGGCTTCCTAGGCATGTATTACCACTATCTTTGTTCCTCATGGTGTGGTAATGTATAAGAAATGGGGGGGGGGGGGGGGGGGGGGGGAG